AAAAAAAAAAAAAAAAAAAAAAAGGAACTAACTTGCTCTTTCTTCCTTCCCCTCCTCAGAATGACTGATGGATACTCAGGAAGTGACCTAACAGCTTTGGCAAAAGATGCAGCACTGGGTCCTATCAGAGGTAGGTGTATAAGAGCTTGAAACATTTAAAACTATTTATTATACCACTTTAGAAGTTTAAGAAGTCCAAAAAAAATCTCTCTCTCTCTCTCTCTCTGTGTGTGTGTGTGTGTGTATATTTTTTTTTTCTTTTGGAGGCAGGGTCTCTGTTGCCCAGGCTGTAGTGCACTGACACAATATAGTTCACTGCAGCCTCAAACCCTCCAGGCTCAGGTGATCCTCTCACCTCAGCCTTCCTGGTAGCTGGGACTACAGGCATACACCATCATGCCTGGCTAATTATTTTATTTTATTTTGTAGAGATGAGGTTTCACCATGTTGCCTAAGCTGGTCTTGAACTCTGGGCTCAAGCGATCCACCTGCTTTGGCGGATTACAGGCATGAGCCACCATGCCCAGCCTTAAAACCATTTTTAGCTAACAAATCATACAAAAATAGTATATGAGTCAGTGGACTATGACCCCTGTTCTAGGCATGAGATTTTACTTCTTGATAATAGTAAGCAACAGGAAACTCAAAGAAAAAGAAAACTTTTAAACAAAAAACAGTAATATAAGAAAAATGTTCTTATCTGTTTTCTGGCTCTTTTCAATATTCTGACATCATTTGAAATTAACGTATCTAACAGAAATTATGTAAGTTTTTACCTTTTTATGTCTTTTGAGGAATTGCAGCAAAATATTTATTCCTATGTTTTTATTCAAGTTTGTTGATTCCGAAATACCATGACTGATTATTTTTTGGTTAGGTTAGGATAAACTTACATAGATATTTTCAGCTACATTTCCACAGCCAGCCTGGGTAGTAGATGGTTGATGCTGTCAGGTATGCACTCAGATTATTAGCTATGATGATAAAATAAACTTAAAACATGCAACTCCAGAGCACTAGTTACGGCTCCATCTCTTTTCTCTCATTCAAGAAAGTACAATTAATTAAATATAGTTGTATGAGAAACATATTATCTTAGTGTCTACTGTAATTTGCATTAAAAGCCTACATTATGTAAAATCTTTTGGTTTTACTGGTTAAAAATTACCAGTAACATTTCCCATAGTGAAATAGGGTAGTGATTAAGAACTGTTACTTTGCAAAATAAAAAATGTAATCTTGAGAGTATATTTTGTAACTCTGGATAAACAAATTTTCTTGTTGCCAGAGCTTAAATCCTGTTCAGATAGTTGACTCAGAAATAGTAGCCAATGCATATTTTTTTTAGAACATTTTGGCTACTCTGAGGCAGATAAAATTTGGGGTTAAAAAAGATTCGCATCCATTAACGTACAGAAAATGGTCGGGTACAGTGGCTCACGCCTATAATCCCAGCACTTTCGGAGGCCAAGGTGGGAGGATTGTGTGAGCCTAAGAGTTCAAGACTAGACTGGGCAACATAGGGCGAGGCTATCTCTACAAAAAAAATAAAATAAATTAACTGGGCCTGTTGGCATGCTCCTGTATTCTTAACTACTCGGAAGGCTGAAATAGGAGGATCACTTGAGCCTGGAAGGTCCAGGCAGCAGTGAACCATGGTCATGCCACTGCATTCCAGCCTGGGTGACAGAGTGAGGTGCTATCTTAAAAAGTAAATAAATAGGTCAGGTGTGATGGCTCATGCCTGTAATCCCAGCACTTTGGGAGGCTGAGGTGGGCGGATCATGAGGTCAGGAGTTTGAGACCAGTTGGATCAATATGATGAAACTGCACCTCTATTGAAAATACAAAAATTAGCTGGGTGTGGTTGCATGCGCCTGTAATCCCAGTTACACAGGAGGCTGAGGCAGGAGAATCGCTTAAACCCTGGAGTCGAGGCTGCAGTAAGCTGACATTATGCCATTGCACTCCAGCCTGGGCAAAAGAGTATAACTTTGTCTCAAAAAAAAAAAAAAAGTAAAGTACAGAGCAAAAACAAAAAAGACTAATGAATTTTGTAAAGAACAAGTTACACTCTTTTAAGTTCCCTTTCACATGTGTAAACTATTGTTCATGGGCAATATGCAAGAAATTGAACATTTTCCAGTTATTCCTAAAGAAGGAATGTTCTCTTCCAAGCATTTATAAATTGTATGTGCTCTCAAAGTTAATGTGTCTCTCTTAATGTAATGATTTGTATTGAATAGGTCCATTTAGATCATTGTACTTGGTTTTGCCTTTCAACAATTTAAACTGCAAAATGTATGTATTTTTAAGTGCCTGACTTTTATATTTTACAGAACTGAAACCAGAACAGGTGAAGAATATGTCTGCCAGTGAGGTATAGTATTTTACAATGATTTTTTTCTTTGTTTTGGTCCTCTATATTGTAAGACATATACACATGAGTGTGTGTGTGTGTGTGTGTGTGTGTGTGCAATTTTTTTGTTTTGTTTTTGAGACTGAGTCTGGCTCCATGTCAGCTCACTGCAACCTCCACCTCCTGGATTCAAGCTATTCTCCTGCCTCAGCCTCCCAAGTAGCTGGGTCTACAGGCGTGCTTCACCACCCCAACTAATTTTTGTATTTTTAGTAGAGAGGGTGTTTCACCATGTTGGCCAATCTGGTCTTGAACTCCTGACCTCAAGTGATCCACCAAACATGGCCTCCCAAAGTGCTGGAATTACAGGCTTGAGCCACCACATCTGATGGTTTTTTTTTTGTTTTTTTTTTTGTTTTTTTTTTGTTTTGAGACACAGGGTCTTGCTTTGTTACAAGGCTGGAATGTAATCGCGCAGTAATGGCTGACTATAACCTTGACCTCTTGGTCTCAAGCATTCCTCTTGCCTCAAACTCTGCAGTAGCTGGGACTATAGGTAAATGTCACAACGTCCCACTAATTTTTAAATTTTCTGTAGAGATGAGGTCTTGTCCTGTTGTCCAGTGTGGCCTCAGACTCTTGGCCTCAAGTAATCCTCCTGCTTCAGCCTGTCAGAGTGCTGGGGACTAATTTTTTTTTAAATGGATTTTTCTAGTTTAGTTAATTAGAAGCTAGAAAAAATGAAAAATGAACTTTGCTTCATTTCAAAATATGGAAGCCTATGAAATTAGTCTCAAATTTTTCTTTGGTAATGGACAAAACATATATACATAGTCATTAAGTCATTTTCTACCAAATCATATTATGTAAATACTGAACAGAAAAAAATTATGGGCTGGGTGTGGTGGCTTACACCTGTAATCCCAGAACTTTGGGAGGCCAAGGTGGGGAGATCACTTGAGGTCGGGAGTTCAAGACCAGCCAGCCCAAGATGGCAAAACCCTGTCTCTATCAAAAATTTAAAAAAGGCTAGGCGCAGTAGCTCTCACCTGTAATCCAAGCACTTTGGAGGCCAAGGCAAGTGGATCACCTGAGGTCGGGAGTTCAAGACGAGCCTGACCAACATGGTGAAACCCCGTCTTAAAAAAATTAATTAATTAATTAATTTTTAAAAAATTAGCTGGGCATGGTGGCGCATCCCTGTGGTCCTGGCTACTCGGGAGGCTAAGGCAGAAGAATCACTTGAACTTAGGAGGCAGAAGTTGCAGTGAGCCAAGATTGGGCCATTGCTCTCCAGCCTGGGTTACACAGTGAGACCCTGTCTCAAAAAAAAATTATATGAAACTTGAGGGGTTTTGTACATTATAAAAATAACATAACTATAGGTTAAACTTTAATGATGTTCTATTTTTTCAATCTTTTTTTTTCTTTAAAAGCAATACAATTACTACTGTAATATAATTTATTACCTTTATTTTATTTATTTATTTTTGAGGTGGAGTCTCACTCTGTCGCCCAGTGGCACGACACTGCAACTTTTGCCTCTGGGGTTTAAGCAGTTCCCTGCCTCAGCCTCCCGAGTGGCTGGGATTATAGATGCCTGCCACAATGCCTGGCTAATTTTTTTATTTTTAATAGAGACAAGGTTTCACGATCGTGGCCAGGCTGCTCTTGAACTCCTGATCTTGTGATCCACCTGTCTCAGCCTCCCAAATTACTGGGATTACAGGTGTGAGCCACCACACTGGGCCTATTTTTTTTTTTTTTTTAGAAGGACTCACACTCTTTCTCCCAGGCTGGAGTGCAGTGGTGCAATCTTGGCTTACTACAGCTTCTGCCTCCCAGGTTCAAGCAAGTCTTCTGCCTCAGCCTCCTAGGTAGCTGTGATTACAGGCACATGCCACAATGCTCAGCTAATTTTTTTTTTTTTTTTAATATATTTTTAGTAGAGGGGTTGGCCAGGTGGGTCTCAAACTCTTGACCAATTTATTACCTTTTCTTAATATGGAAAATCCCCTTATGAGATGCTGAAGCATTTCATTTGAAAAAAGTTGCAGGTAAGATATAAAATTGGGTCTGCAGAATGGTCATAACTATGTGAGCAAACTTTTAAAATCAGGCCTGAATTACAGTCAGCCCTTCCTATCTGTGGATTCTGCATTTGTGAATTCAACCAACTGCAGATCAAAAATACTTGAGGGGGGAAAAGCATCCTTGTTGAACATGTACAGACTTTTATTCTTATCATTATTCCCTAAACAATATAGTATAAAAACTATTGGCTGGGTGTGGTGGCTCATGCCTGTAATCCCCAGTACTTTGGGATGCCGAGCCAGGCTGGTCACGAGGTCAAGACATCGAGATCATCCTGACCAACATGGTGAAACCCCCGTCTCTACTAAAAATACAAAAAAAGTTAGCTGGGCATGGTGGCGCATGCCTGTAATCCCAACTACTTGGGAGGGTGAGGCAAGAGAATCGCTTGAACCTGGGAGGCAGAGGTTGCAGTGAGCCAAGATTGCACCACAACACTCCAGCCTGGCGACAGAGCAAGACTCCGTCTTAAACACACACACACACACACACAAAACAACAACAACAACTATTCACATTGCATTTATATTGTATCAGGTATTACAGGTAATCTAGAGATGATTTAAAGTATACAGGACTGTGTAGGTTATATGCAAATAGTACACCATTTTAATATAAGGGACTTTAAGTGTTTGTGGATTTTGCTATCTGTAGGGGTCCTGGAACCAATTTCCCAGAAATACTGAGGGACAGCTGTATATTTGTAACTTGTTTTTTATTTCCCTAATTTCAGCAGTTGTTCAGGCTGACAGTGAACTGTTAACATAGATAATGAGTGCATTCAAGTACATTTTGGAGTCTTTTTTTTCCCCAAGCTTTTAGACTCCTGTCAGATGAGGCATCCTTCTTGAATTTTTTTTTAAGAAAGCTTTTAGTTTTCTAACCTTTATCTCATTAATTTAGTTTAGTTTAGTTTTTGGGATAGTGTCTGACTTGGTCACCCAGGCTGGAGTGCAGTCGTGCAGTCATAGCTCACTGCACCCTTGAACTCCTGGGCTCAATTGATCCTCCTGCCTCAGCCTTTTAAGTAGCTGGGACTACCGGCATGCACCACCACACTCAGATAATTTTTTTAATTTCATGTAGAGATGGGGTCTCACTCTGTTACCCAGGCTGGTCTCAAATTCCTGGCCTCAAGCATTCCTCCCACTTTAACTTACCAACGTACTGGGGTTACAGGTGTGAGCCACTGTGCCAGGCTTGAAAATTTTTAATCCCACACATAAAAATATAATTGTATCCACCATTTTTGTTATTGTTATTGTTGTTGTTGAGATGACGTTTTGCTCTTGTTGCCCAGGCTGGAGTGCAATGCCACAATCTCAGGTCACCGCAACCTCCGTCTCCCAGGTTCAAGCAGTTCTCCAGCCTCAGCCTCCCAAGTAGCTGGGATTACAGGCATGCACCACCATGCCTGATGAATTTTTGTATTTTTAGTAGAGACACGGTTTTTCTGTGTTGATCAGGTTGGTCTCGAACTCTCGACCTCAGGTGATCCACCTGCCTCAGCCTCCCAAAGTGCTGGGATTACAGGTGTGAGCCACCGCACTCAGCCTGTATCTACCATTTTTAAAAGTCATAACATTATTTATTAAAAGTTTAGATGGTAAAACTAAAAATTAAAGCTTAATAAAACTACTGAATGATTTACAAGGAAGAATATTACTGGTACCTTTTGTAACCATCCCATTAATTATATATATTCAGGTTATATTGTTACAATTTTTGGTTTTACTGTATACTTTCATTCAGTTGTTTCTTTTTAATCTAGTAGTTTTGTTATTAATAATTTGATAATGACCTTTAGCTGTTATTCCTTACTTATGAGTTAATATTTATAAAGCACTTAAAATAGCTGGCACATAGTAAACACTATGTAAAAATCCATTAAATAACTTTAAAAAATAGAAAACCGACAGTGGCATTTTTATTATAAAGATCAAGGTAACTTTCATTCCCATTTATGGGATAAGAGGTAAACACAAGTAATTTGCTCTCTAAACATGTACAGTGGAATTTTATATACCAATTATTTGATGCAACTTTAATACCAAAGTGTATTGCCAGGTTCCAGTGAATATATATAAATTTAGATAAGAAAACCCAACTTGGCTGGGCATGGTGGCTCACGCCTGTAATCCCAGCACTTTGAGAGGCCAAGGCAGGCGGATCACAAGGTCAGGAGTTCAAGACCAACCTGGCCAATATGGTGAAACCCTACATCTACAAAAAATAAAAAAATTAGCCAGACATGGTGGTGGGCACCTGTAGTCCCAGCTACTCGGGAGGCTGAGGCAGGAGAATCACTTGAACTCAGGAGGCAGGAGTTGTAGTGAGCTGAGATCGTGCCACTACATTCCAGCCTGGGTGACAGAGCATGATTCCATCTCAAAAAAAAAGAAAAACCCAACCCCAACTTTTCGTCTACAGTTTATAATAGTAGAAGTTCAAATAATTGGTTTGGAATTTCTGCATTTTTAAGGGTTTGTACTAAAATTGTTGGTTATAAATTGGGGTACTTTGTTTTTTAAGTATAATGTGTATCTGATTTAACTTTATTAATTCCTTTATTATTTTGTTTTTATAAGACAACTTTGCTATGTATTTCCCCCCCTTAACTGAAGTAGCTACTAGCTGCTTTTTTTCCTGTTGTATACATTAGTCTCTTACTAACCTTAAAATACCATATAAATTTCATATATATACATATAACAAAATATACACTTAAATTAGAATTACATCATCAACTTTTAAAACCTTAATTTCTGGCCAGGTATGGTGGTTCATGCCTGTAGTCCCAGCATTTTGGGAGGCCAAGGCAGTTGGATCCCTTGAGCTCAGGAGTTTAAGACCAACCTGGACAACATGGTGAAACCCCATCTCTACAAAAATTACAAAAAGTTAGCTGGGCATGGTGGCACACACCTATAGTTCTAGCTACGTAGGAGGCTGAAGTGGGAGGATCCCTTAAGCCCAGGAGGCAGAGGTTGCAGTGAACAGAAATTGTGCCACTGCACTCCAGCCTGGGTGACAGTGAGATGCTGTCTCAAAACAAAAACTTTAATTTCTATAACAAATAAATTTTATTTAATAATATCATGCTTAATACCCTTATTACATTCATCATTCTTCTATACTTTGGCCTTTAGGAAGAGCCAGGGTGTGTTTTACAGTTAAATAGGAAACAGGTAGGGTTCATAATAGTGTTTTTGGGGTTTTTGTGGGGAGTGAAGGTTGTTGGGTATTTTGTTTTTGTTTTTGTTTTTTTGAGACAGGGTCTCACTCTTGTCACCCAGGCTGAAGTGCATTGGCATGCTCATTGCCCACTGCAGCCTCAACCTCCCAGACTCAAGCAATCTTCCCACCTCAGCTTCCCTAGTAGCTGACACTACAAGGGTGCACCACCATGCCCAGCTAATTTTTGTATGTTTTGTAGAGATGAGGCTTTGCCATGTTGCCAAGGCTGGTCTTGAACTCCTGGACTCAAGTGATCCACTCGCCTCAGCCTCCCAAAGTTCTGGGATTACAGGTGTGAGTCACTGTACCAGCCTATATTTTAACTATATATTTTTTTCTTTTTGGCTTACGTTTTTCATATTAGTTTACAAGTTGCAAGTATTTTCTTTATGCTCATGGAGCTATCAAAGATGATTCGAAGGTAGATTGGGTTTTTAATAGTAATTTTAAAAATATGGATAAAATGTCAGGTTGAAATTTTGTTAAAAGTTCCTCAACTTCTTATTTTTGGGCCAAAATACAGATGTACTGTAGTAATGATTTTTAACATAGGTCATTTGTGCCAAACTTCATTTTCCCTTAAATTTTTTTTTTTTTTTTTTTTTTT